ATTACTGCACAAGAACTGTTTCCAGAAACATTGTTTTCCCTATTTAGACAGGTTTTCCTGAATTTGCTGCGAGTAAGTACGATGTGGACTAGCGAGTCAAGTGTATTAGTATGGTTATGCCCTTTTAAATCTAATTCGCAAATATCTGTGCTAATTTGGCACTTTTGCCATAATCACAATCTGCAGCATTGGAATTTTTTTAGCATTTGTTCTATGCATTATTTGTCGTGATATTTAAGCCCTTCAAAGTTGTGATTCGATCGACATTAAAAAATTTCCGTGTCGAGAGAAGCCAATCTGAAATTTTTGGTTTTTCGTCTAATTTCGACCGATTTAAGTGATCATAATTTGTTAAATTGGTTATTTAGGCTAAAAAAAATTCCTTGCAAACAGAAACTAGTTTTGAAAGCTATGTTTGCAACTTCCCTGCCAAGAAAAATTTTTATTTTTTTTAAAAGACGTTTGTTGCCGATTGTGCCTTATTTACTAATTTTATACTCGTGTGTATAGTTTTATCATCACCCTATGTTCAAAAAACGACACTAATTTGAAAAACTTAATAATTTGAAGAGCTTATATTTGTTGTTGTTATAAATATGGTCGGAGCATTCTGTGCTACTTGCACAGCAACCGTCTATCCTTGTTTTATTTTCTTCACATTTACCCTTTCTTGTTCAACATACACTGCGTTTGTTACTGAGTATGTGAATTTAGAGTTTTTAATAGTTCGGTGCTTGATCAAGTTCTTGGGTCAGTGGCAGGCAAATGAAGTAAAATTCGTTTATGCGATATCGCCGTGCCTTTAGTAAACACACACTTGACGACTTCTTGGCCTTCGAAGTTATTATCACTTTGAAAATTTAAAATGGCTCAAGCAAATTTTGTCAAGTTAATCGAATCTTCGGCATGAATCCTAGGCTCCTCATTGATGTTTTCGGCAATTAACGAAGTTTTTTCTTTTTTTGTGTGTGTCTGTAATACAATGATGTCGCGTCCAAATAAAATTATTCCGCATTTATTTTGTTCAATAAAAATTGCATTAGCTTCAACGGGGAAATACGACAATTTTGATAGTTCGGCAATGTTATTGAAAGTCCCGCATTGAAGAAGCTCCTGGAAGATGAGGGAAAAAAGAGAAAGAAGAGGCGGGCAAATGAGGAAAAACTCGTTGATGTTTTATCTCTGATATTTTATTTCTCTGCCATTATTAGGTATACATTTAGCAATTTTTTGTCTTTCGATGTCGCTATTGGTTTAGCGTGGTTCCCAGTATCGTGATTTTTTCCAGCAATTATTATTTTATCAATGTTTTTTTTGTGTGTTTCTGATATAATGATGTCGTATCGTTAAAAAAATTGGATAAGGTTGTTTTCCTTGAATGGTCGTACTTTGTCCAAATTTTACCGTTTCCGGCTCAACATAAAATGCATTAGTTTCCACAAGAGAATTTGTGATTTTTGATGGTCCAGCAATTAAACAGGCACTTGGAACTCAGGTAGGAAAGTGACGGTAAACTCGTTGGTACGATTCAATTGTGCCATATTTCGGCACACACTTAGTTTTGGCTTTCCAAGTTGTCTTTGGTTTGAAAGTTGTGGACAACAAGCGCAAATTTTGTTCAGCTTCTTCAAATCTTTAGCGTGGGTCCCAGATGCCCTTTAATGTTGGCTGTAATTAATGCTTTATGATTATTTTTTGTGCTTGTCATACAATGATGTCGTACATCATTTCAAAAATTGCTCAGGATTGTTTTCCCTGAGTGGTTGTTTTTTGTGCATATTCACCATTTCTTGTTCAACAAAGTTCATTAGTTTCCACAGTAACGTTTGGGATGTTGTTAATACGGCTTTTAAGTAAGCACTTGAATCTTTGAGGGCAAAATGAGGGAAAACTCGTTGATACATTATTTCAGCCATTTTTAAGTAAACCTTTTGCGAGTTTTTGGCTTTCGATGTCTTTATTGACTTGAAAACGTTTGGACGGTACACACTATTTCATTCAGCTTCTGCGAATCTTCAGCATGGTTCCAGGATCTTCCTTTTTAGCAATTAATATTTTGTGCCTTTTTTGTGTCATACGTTGATGTCGACTTGATGTCAAAAAATACGATTGGTTTGTTTTTCCGTGAATGGTTGTTAGTTTGTCCATATATTCTGTTTCTTGTTCAACATAAAATGCATTAGTTTCACCACGAAAAAGTGGGAGTTTTGATGGCACGCCAATTGAACAGGCTCTTGAATCAGTGGCAGGCAAATGAGAGAAAACTTGTTGGAAACTTTATCTCGGTACTTTTTTTTTAGCTTTACGTTCGGCGGTTTTTTGGCTGTTTCTTGTTCAACATAAAATGCATTAGTTTCCACAGCATAATTTGAGTTTTTTATGGTCCTGCAAGTACACAATCACCATGGTCACTAAAAGGCAAATGAGGACCATTGGGACTCAGCTTCGCTTCTGTGAATCAATATTTTTCGTGCTTGTCATGCAATGATGTCGTATCGCACAAAATAAGCGGAATTGTTTTTTACGTGAATGGTGCTGTTTTTTCCATGACGTTTTCTTGTTCAACATAAAAGTGTATTGGTTTTCACGCAAAAATTTCGTATTTTTGTTCTCTGATAATTGGACAAGCTTTTAGATCACTGACAGGCAAGTAAGGGCAAGCTCGTTGATACGTTATCTCGGTGCTATTTTTAGTCACAGATTTAGACTTTTGGCTTAAGAAATTGTCATCAGTTGGAAATGTTTGGACGGCTCGCGCAAATTTTGTTCAGCGTCTTCGAATTTTCGGTATGGGTCCAAGGTTCCTCATTAATGTTTTAACTATTACTGTTTTATGCTTTTTATTTTGTTGTCATACAATGATAACTTATAGCACAAAAATGCGAATGGTTTGTTTTCCGTGGATGGTTGTTATTTTGTCTGTTTATACTGTTTCTTGTTCTTTATAAAAGCATCAGTTTTTAAAAAAGAATTTAGGATTTTGGTTGGTCTGGCAATTGAACAAGCATTTGGGTACCTAGCAGGCAAATGAGGGAAAGCTTGTTGATAACTTATCTTGGTGCCTTTTAAGACACACAATTCATGTATTTTTGACTGTCGAAGTTGACATCGGTTCAAAACGTTTTTGACGGCACGGGCAAATTGTGTTCAGCTTCTTGAAATTTTCGGCGTTGTCCAGGATCCCTATTAATGCTTACAGTATTTTTTGTTCTGTTTTTTTTTGTGTTTGTCTCGCAATATGTATCGCTCGGAAATGCAACATGTTTGTGTTCCGTGAATGGTTGTTTTTTCCACATTCATCATTTCTCGGTCAGCATAAAATGCATTAGTTTGCACAGTAGAGTTTGGGTTTTTCGTTGGTCCGACATTCGAGCTGGCACTTGATTCTTTGACGATTAAAATGAGGGAAAACTCGTTGATACGTTATCTTATTGCTGTTTTTAAATATACGCTTAGCAATTTTTTGGCTTTCGATGCCGTTATCAGCTTGAAAAATTTTAGAACTAAGACGCAAGTTTGGTTCTGCTTTTTCGAATCTTCCGATTTGGTCCCAGACTCATCTTAGATAGCCTGGTACCCAAGCGGAACATTCGAAGAAGTTGAACAAAACTTGCGTCTAACGTCCTAATTTTTTCAAGCTGATAACAACATCGACAACCAAAAACTAGAGTTTGGATTTTTGTTGATCCAACATTTGAACAAGCACTTGATTCTTTGACGGGAAATGAGGGAAAAACGTTGATTCACTGTCTCAGTGACATTTTATGTGTACATTTACCAATTTTTTGTCTTTCGATGTCGCTATCAGCTTGAAAAATTTTGGACGTAAGGCGCACGTTTTGTTCAGCATTTCGAATCTTCCGCTTGCGTCACAGGCTCATCTTTGATATTTTTGGCAAGGAGTTTTTCCCCTTTTCAGTAGCTGTCATGCAATGGTGTCGCATTGCTCAAAAAATTCAGTCATTTTAAATCTTAAGTTATAATGCTAGCATTGATTGGGAATCAAACATTCGTCAATTGGAAGAAAGGCATATATGCAACCACTGCCCTAAGCACGCTGTTGCCACAGGAGTTGATTTCCTATAACATACTGGTTGTATACTATACCGATAACCATCATATCGGCCATTCTGACAAGAAAGTTCTTTACGGAAAAAATCTAATATCAGGTTGCAATATCCTTGCTTATCGCAAGGTTAATAATGCCTCAGCAACCAAACCGGTTTAAAAAGTCTTTACTGAAAGAATTCTTCCGTAAAAAAGTCGACTTTTTTCAAAAATGAATAATAGTTGAATAGACGCAGGAAATAGATGCAGAAAATGAATAGATACAGGAAATAGACACTTTTAAAAGTTCTCAAGTTTTCTCAGAGAAATTTACATCACGTAGAATGTCCGAATTTTGAGACCTTTTTTGTTTGATACTTTTCATAGAATTACCCAGAAAAAGGATCAATGGTTGATGTTTTGATTTGAAGCCTCGGAAATCTGAAATCAAAATCCACTTGAAAAACAAAAAATCCCAGGACCATTTTGGTTTAGTTTTCACTTGAACCAAATTATTCGCCCTCCCTTATGCAAACTAATTTAAAATAAATTTGAAAATAACCCGAAAGTCAGCCGTTTGCCCTTTTCTCACATTTTTAAATGTTTATTATGAAAGTTTTTTCACGTGTTTTATCGGTTAAATATAAAGTATGACGGAAACTGCGTTCATATTTGTTAATTTTTCTATGCCAAGTTTCATTGCATTATGTGAGCGGTCAAAAAGTTGTTCAATATGAGAAGAAGGAAAAAACCGTAGATTTAACCAACATGCCCGATATTTGAGCTTAAACACAACTTTTATTGCAGATTTACAAATCTTGTCATCAAAAGCTTTGGGGGCACTGAAGAGTATTATAAAACATAAATCAAAGATCTAAATTGCCTACGAAGTTTATTAATTTTTTGCTTTTTAAAAACTCAGCTGACACATTGATTTACGGAGTTTCAAGTTTGTGTTAATAGCGGGGATTTCAATGTAAGGATTTTGCGTTTTGGTGTTCCGGTTTTGTAAGAATTGCTATTGATCAGTTGCGTTGTGATGTAATTTGAGATTGACAGTGCTATAAACGAAACCGATCATCAGTACGGTGGGATCAATTGAGCAATCTCTCCCCCCCCATTCTCGCGTGGGGGGACAGATAGCTCATTAGGTGACTTGAGACATGTTTATGGCCACTTGAAATCAGTTTGAATGATATGAAATCATGAACCAAATTCTCTAACGAATGTCGCTAAAATCTACAATATCAAAGCTCAAAAATTACTTACGAGTTAAAAAGAATCAATTAAACAGGCACAAAGCGACTAAATGGGAAAAGCTATTGCGTACAATATTAAGGTGCTGCAGGGAATATTTTTGGTATCCAGATACAAGACTAGAGCACCAACCCTGGTAGCTGGCTTTCCTCGAAGAGAGGCAATGGTCGCCCGAACAAAAATTTGCAAAAAAAATGAACTCATATAAAATTAACTTTAGTTGGTCAAATGATTGCGTGCTATAAACCCATCAACTATCTACTCGCGTTTGTTAACGTCTTTTTGTAGCGTCTTACCGTTTTTGCTTATGGGGAGATAACTCAATTGGACATTACGGTGGGGGGGGGGGGGGTTGCTCAAGTGATCCGTGCGGTGTATTTAATAACCAAATTAGGACTTGTTCCACAATCTAGCTCTGTTGCCCAATCGAGAACAAATTGGAGTTGGTGTTGCTAGCTGTGGTTTTTCTGTTTTCTTTAAGAAGACCATCTATAATTGCATTTGTTAGTCATGTCAAGATGCCAAAATTTGTTGAAGTTGGACTGTAATGTGATCTTGTTTTAGCCTCACTTCGGAATAATCTTTTCTTTTTGGATTTGGAATGGCGATCATTGAGGATAAGTGTCGAATTTTAATCAAAAAAGGAGATTACTATCATCTTTCGACGATAAAGCTTGGTAAAACTACAAATATCAGTAAAACGCCAATCCAATTGGACTCATTGATTGGGCATCCTTTCGGAACATATTTTGAAGTGGTAAATAGAACGGTGAACAAAATAGAGCCTCCGAGTTTCGAAGATGACGATTTGTTGAATTACGAAGATCAGCAACCTGAAAACTCGACTGAAGATGCAACTCGTGAAGAAATTGGATCGACGTGTGATCAAATTAAAGTTTCTGACAATCCTCACGTGACTAAAGAAGAAATCATGTCGATGAAAGCGGGAGGGGTTGATGCCGATGAAATGATCAAAACTATTGTCTCGAAAAACGCGGCATTCAAAGACAGAACCGATTACTCCAAGACTAAGTATATCAAGAAAAAGCTCAAACGTCACAAACTTATCTTTCAAGTTTTGAAGCCTAACTCAAGATTAATCTCGAGGGCTATTTTCAACATGGATAGTAAAAAGTTGTTGAATCTAAGTCCCCTTGATGTGGCAAATATTTTGTACAAGTGCGGACTATTTCCACATTGTAGAGTGATAGTTTGTGATGGCACCGGAGGCTTAATAGTTTCTGTGATGCTTGAAAAGCTGCTCGATAATATAACGATTATTGAGTTTTTCACTGCAGAACACCCGAAAAGAGATGGAAATACATTTTTCTCGTTTGATAATTCCCTGTTCAAAAACGTGTATCCGCTACCTGTGAAATATGCGAATGAGACGCTACCACTTGATTTGAAACCACATGAACCAAATGGGGTTGAAAAAAGTGAAGGGAAAACTACAGCAGATCAAGACTCGAATTGCAGTTTAGAGAGTTCCAAGACTGAAATAACTGATGTCGATTTTCAGTCAATGAAAGAAGAGCCGAGTGGAAAACGACAGAAAATGAGCGATAAAGCGAACGATGAGGATACTTCAGACGAAGTATGTAACAGCGAAACTGTTGATGAAAGGCTCGATACGAAAACGTCTGAAACGTCAGAAAGTTGCAACAGAAATGGCAGTAATGAAGCTAGAAGTCATCAAAAACAGAATAACAACCGAATTTTTCTTCTTGGTCCGAAGCACGAGAAAGGTCATCAGATTTATATTCAGGGTAAACTCGACTGTCTCTTGCTGGTCTCCAAGTTTGATCCTCTGATGATACTAAAACATTGCTACCCAAAGTTAGCTCCTTCGAGACCTGTCGTGATTTTTCACTCGTGTCTCGACGTCATTCGAAACTGCGCCGAATGGCTCAAAGACGAAAAACGAGCCGTGAACATCGAAGTTTGTGATGTGTTTTCACGAGAGTACCAAGTGCTGCCGAATAGAACGAGACCCACTATGAAACCCGAAGAGACAACTGGTTATTGTTTAAGTGCTATCAAAATCGTAAATGATTTATGAATGAAAATTTGCTCAACTTTATTTTTTGATCTCTGATATTTATAAATAATAAATCAGAATTAAACTTTTTTTGTCTCTTGAGATATATTGGTCCCTTTTTGAATTGCTGCCGTCAGAATGACTTCATGAAATGTTAAAGTACAATCTATATTTATTTATGTTTTTGTTTTTCAGAATGAGAATGACAGTTTTCGAGAACTCTCAAACCATTCAGCGGTTAGTCAGAGAAGCAGTCGCCAAAAGAGATCTTCCACATTTACCTTGTCGTTTAGTAGCCGTCAGTAAAACCAAACCAGTTTCAGACATTGTGGAGGCTTATAACGCGGGCATCCGCCACTTCGGTGAAAACTACATCCAAGAGCTACACGAGAAATCGAATGATTCGACTATTATAGAGAAGTGTCCTGATATCAAATGGCATTACGTTGGTCATCTTCAGAGCAACAAGAGTAAATTGCTATCGAAAGTCAAAAATCTGTTTTTAATGGAAACAATTGATAGCACTAAACTGTGTGATAAATTGAACAGCGAATCAATGTTACCAGAATCAGGAAGCAGGTTAAAAGTTTTGGTTCAAGTCAACTCCAGTGGTGAAACTCAGAAAAGTGGAACAACGTCTAACGAAGCGGTTTCTTTAGTTGACCACATTGTTTCAAAGTGCCCAAATTTAGAGTTCAGAGGATTAATGACAATTGGAAGTTATGGCCACGATTACACTCAAGGTGAAAACCCAGACTTTGAAGTTTTGTTATCTTGTAAAGAAAGGCTTTTGGATCACATGGGTTTAAAAGAAGCTGATCTGGAAATGAGCTTTGGCATGTCGAATGATTACCTGCATGCAATTTCGATGGGCAGTACAAACGTGAGAGTGGGAAGTTCTATATTTGGAAGCAGGCAATATCCAACCAGCTGATTATGCTTTTTCGGCAGTTTCCTTACAAATGAAAAATTTTCTTATTAATTTGTAATGAAATTCATAAATCTGTAGATAGATTCAAGAATTGAAGTTTGGAAAGACTCAAGTGACAATTTTTAAGTGACAAATCAAAATCGAGGTTAAGGCAGATAACTTGTAAGCTAAAGCGTTGCATTTAAGATAATCCTACATCCTCTTCTGTGTTTTTTTTCTGCTTTTGTCGCTTTATGTAATTATGATTGCGACCAGGAAGAGTTATCAAATCGGAACAAAAACTTTCCGTGTAATTAACTTGTCTACTAGAATCATTGAATCGTTTCGGATGTTTTCTTAATTTACACATGCGAGCGTGTTTAGGTCGCAAATATTAGTACTACGTTTGTAGGCACTTTTGAAAGGCTGCTTCGGCAGTTTAATAGCATGTGCTCTGACATTCGATTAGTAATAAGTTGACACAGTTGATGCATATTTAATTTATCATTAGAACCGAAAAAAAATATTTGTTTCAATTTAACAGTACAATAATCAAAACTCCATTTCAGAAATTTTCCAGCTCAATATAATTGGCAATGTTTTCAAATACATAGTTTAAACATAATGTGGTTTATGCTTTCCAAATTAATACATGCAAAATTAGTGTGGATGCCTTCAGTTTGTTATTTTCTATTTACATGCAAAATTTAAGTTTATTTATATCTGGTGCCACTTTTGCTGCATAGGATTGGCAATCCTTTAACTGCTTTATGCTGCTGCTTTTTTAGCGACTAGTGTTTTAAAGACTCAAGGGCCTGTGGCTCAGATGCGATGACATGCGACTCCAAATCTCCTGATCGTGTGTTCGAATCCGCCACAGTAAACAATTTCGATATTCAAGGCTTATTTTTAACTTTTCTTTTCTGATTTCATTTTTTATCTCTTCTGCTAGTTTTTGTCGTTTTCTCGCAAAGTGCAGGATCGCCTCTGTGTATAATTTTAAATTTTACGTCTTCTTTGGCACACTTGGCGTAGCGGCATTGTCTATACATGGGCATGAAAAAGGGGGCGGCTATTTTGGGCGAAAACGAAAGTGTCAAGTTTAGGCGAAAATTTTCATTAAAAAAGTGTACATTTTAGCAGAAACTGTATGCGATTACTTAAGTCATTCCATTGCTACATACTAAATACAAGTGATATTATTCAAACAGCAAATAAACGGTAAAATAGTGACCGCTGCAGTCGCTCCAACTTGTAGCGAGCTTGCCAACTGAGGGTAGGACTCTTTACGAAAATTAGAGCCGATTATCACCGCGGAACCGACAAACGGCTTTGTAGTCTTTAACCGCTTCTTGTCAATATCTGGAAAGTAATGAGGATTTTTGATAAAATATACACTTTTATTATCAAAATTTTCGCTTCGCTCAAATTTAACAATTTTATTTTCGCCCAATATAGTTTTCGCCTAATATATACAGCCCCATAATAAAGGTACTGAGTTCCATCAGTTTATTTTTGCAAAGGTAAAAAAAATCCGTTTGAAAAATAATGTCGGCCAATTGTTTGTCTGTTTAAGTTTGTCAGCATAGTTGCCACGGCGCTGTCTTTTTTGCGACAAGAATAATTCTAACAATTATTGAAATTCATATGGGTTTAATGCTATATTTTTTAATTTACCAGCCTAATGATTTTGATGCGATTAGCAAGCCTTATCAAATCGGAAAATAGATTTTTTTTTCCGGGCTAACTATTTGTTTCACAGAATCAATTGGTATCTTGGATCATAATGAATCTATCTATTATTTAATTGGCGTTTCACGTGACTTAGATATATAAAAACTAACCGAGCTTGAGATTCTCAACCCTATAGTGGGTTGCTATCAGGGTGGATACATTCAGGGGTTGCAAATCTGGAGTCCAATTATGACTGCTCAAATCTTTTTGGTTTTCGAGATATGGCGTTTTTTATGATTTTTTTTCAAAAAAACTTAGATATTTAAAAACTAACCGAGCTTGAGATTCTCAACCCTATAGTGGGTTGCTATCAGGGTGGATACATTCAGGGGTTGCAAATCTGGCGTCCAAGTATGACTGCTCAAATCCTTTTGGTTTTCGAGATATGGCCTTTTTTATGATTTTTCTTTTTTTCCAAAAAAATTAGATATAAAAAAACTAACCGAACTTGAATTTCTCAACCCTATAATGGGTTGCTATCCGGGAAAATCCAGGAGTTGCAAATCTGCCGTCCAAGTATGACTGCTCAAATTGTTTTTGTTTTGGTTTTCGAGATATGGCGTTATTTATGATTTTTTTCATTCTTTTTCAATTTTTTTTTAAAAAAACTTAGATAAAAAAACTAACCGAACTTGAATTTCTCAAAGCTATAGTGGGTTGTCTTTTTTCTGAAGACTTGGTTTTGTAGCACCGGAGGTGCGATTGACGTGCTAGTTCAAATTTATCAGCGTATCCTATCACTTATTGCAAAATTCTATTCGTCCCAAATGATTTTGGCTTATATTTTATCAGTTTTATGCCCTAATTTTGGGTCGTTTTAAGGGAAACATACTTTCATGCTCCTATTCTTTGTATTTGGATATTTTTTCCGTTTTTTTCACCCAAAATCAGGTATCACAAATAATTATCAGAAGAGGTTGACTGATATATTTTGTTAAAGCCTTTGCAGTCGTGATTCGAGTCCTACCAAAAAAGTTTCCAAAAAATCTCAGCAGCGTTGAGAAAAACCTGTTTAAATTTTTTTTTTAATTTTGGTCTAATTGCGAGCAATTTGGCTTATAAAACGCAATTAAGACGTTTAAATTTAGTTTTGCTGAGTAATATCAGTTTGTGAAGCCTATTTTAGCGCTTGCTTGAAAACAGTTAAAAAATCCTAAAAAAAAACAAACAACAATTCTTGCAAACACAAAATTTACAAACATACAAATTTTATGTTTTTCGATAAATTTTTTGATAAAAACCGTTGTCAGATTTCCATTTTCTACACTTACTATCAAATTTACTTTTTTCTAGGCTCTCGTTTAGATCTGCTCAAAACCGAACGAACAAAAAACTTTCGTTTTCGGAACTTTCGTGTTCAGAACTTTCTGAGCTACTTGCACAGCAACCGTCTATTCTTTTTGAAATCAACTTCGACTCGCTGAGTCATTCTTGTTAGATTTCAGGTAGAAATGAAAAACTTTGGGTACACCAGAAAACCCACAAAAGTGATTGGAGAAGGATCCTATGGTGGAAAAGGTAGCACTTCGACTAAATTGGACTTTGTATTGGATAGTATTCCTTCAGTTGAAGGCGAGACTTCAGTTCCCATTGTTAGAAAAAGGAAGGTTAAGAAATCAACGGACGCTGCCAAGTCGAAAGCTCTACAGCGAGCTGTTTTTGGAGGAACTTCTCAGTTCACAGAATCAAATTTTCAAGAACTAATTGCTTCTAAAAAGAATTCTGAGTCTAAAGAACAGAAAGAAGAAGTTGCTGCTTGGGTTGACAGCGAAGATGAAGACGAAAATGTTCCCATTGACGTTAAAGTTGCGCGGAAATTCCTGTCAAGCGCAACATCGGCGTCTAGTACCAAATGGGCTTCAGAACCGGCACCAGAGTATATATCTTTGAAAGAAAGCGACGAAAATGCGTATCACTCGGATAATGATTTAGGAACAACTTCTGAGAAAATAATGATTTCGAAAAGTCAATTTAAGAAACTGGCGCCGAATAAAATTGGTGTCTCCAAATGTCGAGATCTTAATCAGAGCAAACCGAACTCGAATGCCATCAACTGTACTCAGTTTCACAAAACTGATCGAGTAGCTTTAGTCGGTAGTGCAGATACGACTTTGAGCCTTTTCCGAGTTGACGGAGACGAGAATAAAAACATCGCACAAATTCCGTTTGAGAATTTCCCAATCCACTTTGCCGAGTTCATTTCAAATAGCAAAACAGTATTTCTGACTTCGATTTACAATTCTTTTTATAGCTATGATTACGGGGCTATGAATGTCACTGCGCATCATGGATTGCGCTGCGTAGATGAAAAAATATTCAGCAAATTCACCATTTCTAATTGTGGTAAATTCATTGCCATGAAAGGCATGTACGGAAAAGTTTATTTAATTATAAGTCATAGTCTTGAGTTAATCAAGACTCTTACGTTGAACGATTATGTCGAAGGAATGACGTTTACCAGCGATTCTGGTTACTTCCTGGCCTCAGATTGTAAAGGAAAGGTATACGTTTTTGACCTGCGTAAATTAACTCGATGTCTGAGAAAATTCGAAGACGAAGGATCTACAAATACGATTTCAGTTGCTCTGTCTAGTGATTCTTCATTACTTGCTTGTGGCTCTTTCAACGGAGTTTTAAATCTCTACGATTTTCAGTCAATATTAGCGGAAGTGAAAAGATTTCCGGAGCCAGTGAAATGTTTCAAGAATTTGACAACATTAGTTGACAATGTCAAATTTAGCTCTACAAACGAGTATTGTGTTTTCTCTTCAAGATTAGTCAAGAATTCGGTGAAAATAGCTCATATGGACAGCTTCACAGTGTTTGAAGATTTTCCAACATACCAGAATTTGGGATGTGTTAAGACGTTTGATCTTTCTCCACACGGGAAGTATCTGACATTTGGTAGCATAAGTGGTAAATGCAGACTGTATGATGTGACTCATTACAGCAGATATTGAAGTATGAATATCAAGATACTGAATAAAAGTCTTTGAAAGTTTTTTGAGCAAATCTTATTGATGCCATCGAGATGTTTCATTGAAAAACTTGTCGTTTCATAAAATTGTTCAATTTTATTTTGGTCTTATCTATCTGTCTATCTATCTATCTATCTATCTATCTATCTATCTATAAATTTATCTATCTATTTTTTTTATCTATCTATACATTATTTAATGGGATGTCACTTGAAACAATTAAGAAGACCCTATATTGACATGTTTAATAAAAGGACAATATTTTTCAACATTTAATAGGTGTTATGATATGCAACGTTTTAAATTTCCAAGGTGATCTATTATTTTACCTTTAAATGCTTTAACGGTACATATTTTTGTCTTATTTCGCAATGCAAACTTTTTTGTGTGTATTTTAAAATCGTTGAAATTCTCAACCCTATGATGGTGTGGTATTAGGGTTCGCTCAGGAGCGGCAAATCTGGTCTCCAGATTATTTTGCTCAAATCCCTTCGGTATTCGAGATTGAGATATGGCCGTTTTTTCACGTTTTTGAATTACTTTTAACAGATATTTAGAGAATTTGAAATGCTCAATCTCTTGGTGGGATGCTATCAGGGTATACTATGCAATTGCATTTCTTCGCTCCAAATGTGACTGCTCAAATTCATTGGGTTCCGAGATGTGGCATTTTTTATGATTTTTTGATTTTTTTTTTAAATTTGGATTTGAACAAATAAACAGAACTTGAAACTCTCAACCCTATAGCGGAATACTCTCAGAGTGCTTTATGGGGTTGCATTTCTTCCCTTTAGATATGACTGCTCAAATTCTGTTGCTTTTCGGGATAAAACGTTTTGGTTTTTCAAAAAAATCAGATTAGAGAAAACTAACAGAACTTGAAACTCTCGACCCTATGCTGGTGCGCTTTTGGGTTACTCTCAGGGATTGCAATTAGGGACGACAACTTGACCGATCAAAACCTTTTGAGAGCCGAGACAGTGTATTTTATGCTTTTTTAAAATTATATATCAAAAAACAGATTTCAAAAGCTTACAAAAACTTTTGGTTAAAGTTGTCAACCATGTATTGTAATGCTATCAGGGATCTCCTAGAAGTTGCAATTTGAAGTTTATTTGAATTTCTATTATAGTTTCCGAAGTATGATATTTTTATTTTCAATTTTTCAGTAAATCTGATTGTTGTCAGAATTTTTGAACTTTTTTTAAAAGCGTGAAAGGAGCGTAAGTATGCTGTCGGTTTTCAGGTTCCTTTTTTGAGTTCAGTTTAACAAATTTGATGAAATTTAGTAGTTTTTGAGATTTGGGTAAAAAATAACTAAAAGATGACCTAATGAATGGTTCAATTAATAGAAAACCCTGCTGGATGGTTGCAATGAATGTCGTTGTTACAATTTCAATTTACGTTCTGCAATGAATGTCGTGTTATTATATATATATTAGGAAGCTCTTTTCACGTTCAGCTATCTATTTGAAGCACCTTCGGTGCAAGTCATGCGCTAGTTGAATTGATTATCTGATTATAGTTTCCAATAGCAGTAGACGGTATTTTGACGCTACGAGGTTTTCATGGTATTTCAGATTAGAATGCAACATTTCAATAACTTAGAAAGTCTGATCTACCAAAATGAGCACCTACTTCAGCGCGCTTAACTCCTAATTTATGGCCGCTTCTTCTGCGACTATTTCATCTGGTCGCAAGATCACACCGAGTGTCCACGGCTATCCTGGAAGTAACAGCAGCAGTAGCTCCAGCAGCACCAGGTCTATCTGTTTTGTCCAGAGAATAGAGTATCAGTTCAGTGGGAGCAGTGTATGGCCTTTTGCGCTGGCCCTGGGAGATCTGGACAACGATGCCCACGGAGACTATGAACTGGCAGTTGGAAATGTGCACGGAGATCTGTTCATATATAAGCATATATGTGAGCAGCCGTGGAAGAAAGCGTCAAATCTGGGATCCGTAAGATTCGTTCACAAACCTTTTTCTGGTTAAAAAAAACTGGTTTAATTGTACCAAATAGACTGTGATTTACAGATTGTGTGCATTGGTATTGGTGATGTGCTAAATGAAGGAAAAGTAAGTTATTGATGGATGTCTTTTGTGGTTATTTATATCTAATATGCAATTTAAAAAATATTATCTGTTTCAGAATTTTCTTGTTACATTAAGCTGCGAGGGATGGTGCCATATATTTGACGTTCCAAGCGAAGTAAGTCACTTCTCGTAGGAGTTTATGATGCTTAAAAATTGGTTTTCAAACACAGATTTGATGCAGGGCCACAGCTTCATAATTTATAACATCGAAGAAACTTATTCTAAAAGCAGTCAAAGTTGATTAAACGTAGTAATTTTTTCCATAGTCAAGAACCAGTTTCTTGTTATCTATCGCTTTGCTGAATTTTCTATTAAAAGTTTGCCACAGGCATCAGAAAGTGGATCAGTGATTCTCCCCACTAACTCGCCGAGTGCCACATCGCTGCCCTGTGTTCCGAGCAGTGATCTGCAAGCACTTTACAAACAGAACGATATAGGGGTCAATGTCAAACTACTTCTTCTAGATGACATAGGTCAGTGACGTGTCTCTTTATTGTTCAGGTCACTGAAAGTTGGGAGGAACTTTGTCTGTGGGTGTTTTTTTTACACTAGCGAATGTTGTTTATTAGTAAGAACCTGGTGGCACTTCTGCTGTAATCACGTGCGTGGCAGTGGGAAGAACGTGAGGTTCCTAATCTGGAGTTCCCTCGTTTGAAACGGTCGCTAATCAAAATTTTTCTAATTTGAGGCTTATTTTCCTTAATTTGTTTTCTCGCTAATGTTTGCGAACAACGCAGCTTTGCCTGTGTTCAGTAGTTTTTTCACGAAAATTCGGGTACCAGAAATAATCATAAGAGTAGAATGAGTGAAAAATCACATAAGTCCCTGCAGTCATGATTGGAACGATATTAAAAGTAATGCGAGTAGGGAGTAAGTTTTTTTTTGCGTTCATCACTATTTTCCAACTGTCAGTTGGCTATGTTTGAATGAAAAGTTTTTAAGTAAACTCAATGTCAAAAAAACGAGTTTAAGGTTTTTGATTTTTGTCTTATTACGAGCAAGTAGAAAGCGTGAAGCATATATGAAACATTTCAATGACGAAAGATCCCTTACCTAAAGATCCCAAACAAGAAGATCCCAGCCGATAACATAGCAGTTCAAAAGATACCTAGTTCTCAAATCGCCCACGGCTGAGGTACCATAATAAACAAGGATAGCCAGTTACTGTGCAAGTAGCACAGAATGTTTCTACCATAGTCTAAAAAATACAAAAAAAACTGTAGGTTTTTTCAAATAAGTGTCGTTTTTTCTGCGTGTTGTGATAAAACTATCTGGACAAAAACTGGAATTTTCGATAGTCATTTTTCGACTATCATTTTAAAAAGGAAAATTGGACGATACTTGTTGAAAAATTAAAATATCAAAAAAAAATCAATTTTTCAAATCCCAAATGGCGCTTCAAACAGATTCCGAAAACACTTTTAGTTGGTTGAAACTAATTTTTCACAACCTGAATTGAGGAACAATAAGCTATTGTAAGTCTGCTTGCTCGCATTAATTGCTCACATTTGGACAAAAAGCAAATGTTTTAAAACTGTTTTTCTCGATACTGGGTTAGCTAATTTTGAAAGTTTTCTGATGTCCCTCGAATGTCGACTGAAAGGGCTCTAATATGACGTATCACTCGTCCCAATCATATAGTTTTTATGGTGCCTGCTGATTTTGCGTGGAAAGCAAAAAAGGAAAACAACACCCGAATACAAAAACCTCCCCATTTTTCAAATGGTCGGAACAATCACAAAGAAAAGAAGAATCAAAGCAATAAGACGGTTGACCAATCAAGCTAAAAACGAAGGGTTGGTTAAAATCAAAGAAGCGACTGAACTTTCGCTGCAAAATTTCGAATAGAAAAAGCCTTGCTAATCACTTGGCCTTCAAATTGAAACATCAAAACATATTTGACAACAAAGGAACTTGAAAAGGTTTTCTAATAATCACAACCAACTTTGCCAAGTTGGCCAGTTTTTCCAGACAAATCAAGTCGGTTCAACAAATGAAAACAAGTTTTCGCATACTTCGTAAGCTTTAATTGATCTCACTGCGACTCAATTGCCGTTTGTTTTCATAGAAATATCGTTTCATATTTTTGATCAAATTTTTCGCTAGACGCAATGCTCGAAACAGCCGAAATGCCTCTACTCCCAACCTAGTGTCCCGTAAAGAAAGAAATTGCCCTGGGATTAATTTCTTAGAAACAATATTTTCGAATGCGGGCATGGTTTTGCATTTTGGCGTTCTCCGGGAGTGTGCATCGAGACGTCTATAAAAAGTTGATAAAAAAATTCTAATTTTTAAGACAAAATAAGGCAGAAATTAAAACATAATTTAATAAGTTAAGTGAGCAAGTCAACGGATATAAGATAATGTATTAGAGTCTTTGTATGCACTAATTATCTGTTGAACTTTTTCATTCAGATCACGTTTTTTTTCCGGGAGAAGTTGATAGTACCGCAGGATGCGTTCAAGATATTGAATTTTTGATTATAAAAATCCAGTTGGATTTTCTCAAGTATATATAAATATTGAAGGATGGCTGCTCAGCCGTAACACATAAGTGCCACTCTTCAACTACATATGCTGTTCGGGCTAGACCAGAAACAGCAGTTTGATAATGGTTTCATAACGAAATTGAAAGAGTGTTTTTCGGCCAATAAATCCCCTTTTCATGTACATTTTTTGAAAATGATCCATGAGCCTGTCTATTTTTTCGAGATTGTTTTGTGATTTATGCAGTTTGTTTGCCTCTCTGCATACTTCTAAATTACTAGGTCGAACGCGGTTTCCTTTTTTAACTTCGATACAAAACGAAGGGCAAGAATCATGATCAAATTAAAGACTAGCTCGCTGTTCGATTCATCAGTCTTTTCATGATCCAATACAGAAAATGAATAGCGTGAACCTAATTCAGGTGTTATTATAATTCAAGATTTAATTTTGATTGCACTTTCATCATGTTTTTTGTTCATAATTCATGGGATCTTTTTAATTGACATGGGATCTTATGGTATAGGCGATTTTAGTACATGGAACCTTTTAGTACGGTATCTTTTATCATGGGAGCTCTTTCTGAGGTATCTTTTGTCCGAATACCGAATGAGCAGTTTTTGAAAGTTTCCTTTAGCTCTTTCCCAGCACGAAAACTTCAAAAACTCACTGTTTAAAAATAAATGTAAGTTGAATGAAAGTTTTCGATTGTCAAGTTAGTTGAAGTTTACTGAAGCTATTAATAATTCCTCCAGGCTAAGTTTTGTCTCTCTCAGAACGCACAGGAACCGGCTTTCTTTGTTTTTGATCTTTTTTTCAAGCAAAATATTACAAATAATTTTTAGAATGGGTCGAGTGATGTATCATACTAAAGACCTTTCAGTCCTGAATAGATTGACATCTAAAAATTTCTTAGTGTCATCAAAAAATCTGGTTAAAAGTTATGAATTAAGTATAATTTCGAGGTTTTTCAGGCTATAACAGGTGTTATAATAATACAAAAATCTTTCATTTAAGCCGTGAAAATCTAGTTTTTGAGGCTTCATTTCGCGTCCTTGGCAATTTTTCATTTTTATTTTTCGTAGAAACTGTAGTCTAATATGACTAATTTACTTATGTTATAAGCATAAGGCTTGTGGTTTTATTGCACCACGCCCAGAAAACGACACAAAATTGAAAAAAAAAGTTTTTGTTTTTTCAGTTTTCCTCACTAAACTCGTCGCAACTTTCTGCTATCTGCAACTTGCACAACAATCATCTACTCTTTTCGAAAATTTGTTTGCCTGTTCGGACTTTTTTGAGAATTCAACCATATACAACTTTTGCTAAATGTTGCAAATCTATAACAGATGGCGCTTGACTGACTAGGTGGTCTCCAGGCAATGTTTGATTTTGCAACTATTTTGTTATATTGTCAGAATTAGGGAAAAAAATTTTGACGCACGCAAATAAATCAAAACTAATCAGCTTAATATGATTTAAGCTGGCGTGTAATTTATTGGAGCTGTTAATGGTTTTAGACGGAGATGGTAAAATCGAGTTAGTTGTTGGGCACACAGACAAATTCGTGAAGGCTTACAGGTGGGAGCCGAATAGTTTGTCAGCCGACCAATTCGCCTCCGATCTGGGATCGGGTTGTCTGCTTATTGACTCTGGATCTCTGAAAGATGAAGCAATTTATGATCCGACTACCTGTCAGACTACTAGCACGGAAGAGAAAAAGCAAGATGCTGGAAAACCTGGTTCCCCAAAAGGGAAATTTGTACCCGTCTATGGTTGGAGATTGGAACATATCGTAAGACAGTTTAATTTAGATTTCTAAACATAAAACAATTCCTAGTTTCCTACGTTTTCTGAAAAATTTAACCTCAACGAGATGGTCCACTAGCGTGCTGGGGGAGGGGGCGACACCTCCCCATCTCGACTGGTTGCCAAGGCCCCCTTTGTATAATTTCACGAGATCCATTTCTTACTGGCCAGCATCAAACATTTTCTAGAAGTGCCTTTGGCACCAATATAACTAGACTTGATGGAGGGACGGCAACGAAAAAACGCAATTTCGCAGTCAAATTTAGTCCAATTTGGGAAAATTACCGCGCAATTTAAGCAGCGATATAAGCGGTCAAATATTTACTCAACTTATTATTTCTTTTCTCCCGAAAATACTGCTTTTTGGTTGGTTGAAAGTTCGCTGGTTTCTGGTTGGTTAAAAGATCGCATCGTTCGGAAATTTGCTTAAAAGCGAAATAAGCAAGCGAATTTTATCCCCCCTAAATCAATTTGGGGTTGGGGGAGAGTGCTGACATGGTCCACAACTTTTTGACACTAGCAAGCTTGCAAGCATTAGTGTATTATTTCCAACCTTTTTTAACCTAACTCGCAAATAAATGTTTACATTGAAAGTGTTCTCTTATATGGAAATTTCAGTTTAGCATGGGAAATTGCGTAGCATCTGTTCTCTGCTGTTTTGCGGCTATTGGTTGTCATAAATTAAGCGTCCCTGACTAATTGGTTAGTGCGTGAGACTCATAATCTCTAGGTGGCAGAGATTCCAACCAAAGAATAGACAGTTTTTTAAGTAGCATTTTTTGACGTTTTTTTTGATCAATCGAAAAATATTGTTCTGAGCTCAAAACTTAAAAGGTATTTTACCTGTTTTTTTTTCGTTAAGTTATGGGGCTTAAAGATTGCCAATTTAGTCCAATTTGGGAAAATTACCGCGCAATGTAAGCGGCGATATAAGCGGTCAAATATTTACTCAACTTATTATTTCTTTTCTCCCGAAAATACTGCTTTCTGGTTGGTTGAAAGTTCGCTGGTTTCTGGTTGGTTGAAAGTTCGAATCGTTCGGAAATTTGCTTAAAAGCGAAATAAGCAAGCGAATTTTATCCCCTCTAAATCAATTTGGGGTTGGGGGAGAGTGTTAACATGGTCCACAACTTTTTGACAATAGCAAGCTTGCAAGCATTAGTGTATTTTTTCCAACCTTTTTTAACCTAACTCGCAAATAAATGTGTACATTGAAAGTGTTCTCTTTTATGGAAATTTCAGTGTAGCATTGGAAATTGCGTAGCATCTGTGCTCTGCTGTTTTGCGGCTATTGGTTGTCATAAATTAAGCATCCCTGACTAATTGGTTAGTGCGTGAGACTCATAATCTCTAGGTGGCAGAGATTCCAACCAAAGAATAGACAGTTTTTTAAGTAGCATTTTTTGACGTTTTTTTTGATCAATCGAAAAATATTGTTGTTCTGAGCTCAAAACTAAAAAGGTATTTTACCTGTTTTTTTTCGTTTAGTTATAGGGCTTAAAGATTGCCAATTTAGTCCAATTTGGGAAAATTACCGCGCAATGTAAGCGGCGATATAAGCGGTCAAATATTTACTCAACTTATTATTTCTTTTCTCCCGAAAATACTGCTTTCTGGTTGGTTGAAAGTTCGCTGGTTTCTGGTTGGTTGAAAGTTCGAATCGTTCGGAAATTTGCTTAAAAGCGAAATAAGCAAGCGAATTTTATCCCCTCTAAATGAATTTGGGGTTGGGGGAGAGTGTTAACATGGTCCACAACTTTTTGACAATAGCAAGCTTGCAAGCATTAGTGTATTATTTCCAACCTTTTTTAACCTAACTCGCAAATAAATGTGTACATTGAAAGTGTTCTCTTATATGGAAATTTCAGTGTAGCATTGAAAATTGCGTAGCATCTGTTCTCTGCTGTTTTGCGGCTATTGGTTGTCATAAATTAAGCATCCCTGACTAATTGGTTAGTGCGTGAGACTCATAATCTCTAGGTGGCAGAGATTCCAACCAAAGAATAGACAGTTTTTTAAGTGGCATTTTTTGACGTTTTTTTTGATCAATCGAAAAATATTGTTGTTCTGAGCTCAAAACTAAAAAGGTATTTTACCTGTTTTTTTTTCGTTTAGTTATGGGGCTTAAAGATTGCCAATTTAGTCCAATTTGGGAAAATTACCGCGCAATGTAAGCGGCGATATAAGCGGTCAAATATTTACTCAACTTATTATTTCTTTTCTCCCGAAAATACTGCTTTCTGGTTGGTTGAAAGTTCGCTGGTTTCTGGTTGGTTGAAAGTTCGAATCGTTCGGAAATTTGCTTAAAAGCGAAATAAGCAAGTGAATTTTATCCCCCCTTAATCAATTTGGGGGTGGGAAAGACTGTTGACATGGTCCACAACTTTTTGACACTAGCAAGCTTGCAAGCATTAGTGTATTATTTCCAACCTTTTTTAACCTAACTCGCAAATAAATGTTTACATTGAAAGTGTTCTCTTATATGGAAATTTCAGTTTAGCATGGGAAATTGCGTAGCATCTGTTCTCTGCTGTTTTGCGGCTATTGGTTGTCATAAATTAAGCGTCCCTGACTAATTGGTTAGTGCGTGAGACTCATAATCTCTAGGTGGCAGAGATTCCAACCAAAGAATAGACAGTTTTTTAAGTAGCATTTTTTGACGTTTTTTTTGATCAATCGAAAAATATTGTTCTGAGCTCAAAACTTAAAAGGTATTTTACCTGTTTTTTTTTCGTTAAGTTATGGGGCTTAAAGATTGCCAATTTAGTCCAATTTGGGAAAATTACCGCGCAATGTAAGCGGCGATATAAGCGGTCAAATATTTACTCAACTTATTATTTCTTTTCTCCCGAAAATACTGCTTTCTGGTTGGTTGAAAGTTCGCTGGTTTCTGGTTGGTTGAAAGTTCGAATCGTTCGGAAATTTGCTTAAAAGCGAAATAAGCAAGCGAATTTTATCCCCTCTAAATCAATTTGGGGTTGGGGGAGAGTGTTAACATGGTCCACAACTTTTTGACAATAGCAAGCTTGCAAGCATTAGTGTATTTTTTCCAACCTTTTTTAACCTAACTCGCAAATAAATGTGTACATTGAAAGTGTTCTCTTTTATGGAAATTTCAGTGTAGCATTGGAAATTGCGTAGCATCTGTGCTCTGCTGTTTTGCGGCTATTGGTTGTCATAAATTAAGCATCCCTGACTAATTGGTTAGTGCGTGAGACTCATAATCTCTAGGTGGCAGAGATTCCAACCAAAGAATAGACAGTTTTTTAAGTAGCATTTTTTGACGTTTTTTTTTATCAATCGAAAAATATTGTTGTTCTGAGCTCAAAACTAAAAAGGTATTTTACCTGTTTTTTTTCGTTTAGTTATAGGGCTTAAAGATTGCCAATTTAGTCCAATTTGGGAAAATTACCGCGCAATGTAAGCGGCGATATAAGCGGTCAAATATTTACTCAACTTATTATTTCTTTTCTCCCGAAAATACTGCTTTCTGGTTGGTTGAAAGTTCGCTGGTTTCTGGTTGGTTGAAAGTTCGAATCGTTCGGAAATTTGCTTAAAAGCGAAATAAGCAAGCGAATTTTATCCCCTCTAAATGAATTTGGGGTTGGGGGAGAGTGTTAACATGGTCCACAACTTTTTGACAATAGCAAGCTTGCAAGCATTAGTGTATTATTTCCAACCTTTTTTAACCTAACTCGCAAATAAATGTGTACATTGAAAGTGTTCTCTTATATGGAAATTTCAGTGTAGCATTGAAAATTGCGTAGCATCTGTTCTCTGCTGTTTTGCGGCTATTGGTTGTCATAAATTAAGCATCCCTGACTAATTGGTTAGTGCGTGAGACTCATAATCTCTAGGTGGCAGAGATTCCAACCAAAGAATAGACAGTTTTTTAAGTGGCATTTTTTGACGTTTTTTTTGATCAATCGAAAAATATTGTTGTTCTGAGCTCAAAACTAAAAAGGTATTTTACCTGTTTTTTTTTCGTTTAGTTATGGGGCTTAAAGATTGCCAATTTAGTCCAATTTGGGAAAATTACCGCGCAATGTAAGCGGCGATATAAGCGGTCAAATATTTACTCAACTTATTATTTCTTTTCTCCCGAAAATACTGCTTTCTGGTTGGTTGAAAGTTCGCTGGTTTCTGGTTGGTTGAAAGTTCGAATCGTTCGGAAATTTGCTTAAAAGCGAAATAAGCAAGCGAATTTTATCCCCTCTAAATCAATTTGGGGTTGGGGGAGAGTGTTAACATGGTCCACAACTTTTTGACAATAGCAAGCTTGGAAGCATTAGTGTATTATTTCCAACCTTTTTTTAACCTAACTCGCAAATAAATGTGTACATTGAAATTGTTCTCTTATATGGAAATTTCAGTGTAGCATTGGAAATTGCGTAGCATCTGTTCTCTGCTGTTTTGCGGCTATTGGTTGTCAATAATTAAGCGTCCCTGACTATATGGTTAGTGCGTGAGACTCATAATCTCTAGGTGGCAGTAGGTCGTGGGCTCGAATCCGAAACGTAGCAGAATTTTTTTATTACTAGTTCGAGGTAATTTCTACTTTTTCTTTTGGCACTTTATAGAGGTGCTTTCAAGTTTTTCCAGATTGATTTGTGATATATCCAGTTTGTTTGCATCACTGCATACTTCCTCAATTACTATGTCGAACGCTGATTCCTTTTTTGACTTCGGTACAAAACGAAGGGAAGGAATCATGATCAACTTAAAGACTAGCTCGCTGTTCGATTCATAAGTCTTTTCATGGCCCAATTCAGAAAATTAATAGCGTGAACCTAATTCAGGTGTTATTATAATTCAAGATTTAATTTTGATTGCACTTTTATCATGTTTTTTGTTCATAATTCTTGGGAGTTTTTAAATTGGCATGGGATCTTATAGTATAGGCGATTTTAGTACATGGAATCTTTTAGTACGGTATCTTTTGTCATGGGAGTTTTTTGTGTAGAATTTTTCATCATAACACCGAATAAGCAGTTTTTGATTTTTCATTCAGCTTTTTCCCAGAACGAAAACTTCAAAAACTGTTTAAAAATAAATGTAAGTTGAATCAAAGTTTTCGATGGTCAGGTTAATTGTGGTTTACTGAAGCTATTTATTATTCTTCCAGCCTAAGTATTGTCTCTCTCAGACCGCGCAGGAACCGGCTATGCTTGTTAGGCTATCTTTTTTCCACGCAAAATCAGGTACAACATTTAATTATTAGAATGGGTCGATTGATGTATCATACAAAAAACCTTTCAGTCCTGAATAGATAAACATCTAAAAAATTTGAAAATATTTTCTTAGTTTTATCAAAAAACCGGATAAAAGTTGTGAATTTAGTTTAATTTCGAGGATTTTCAGGCTATAACAGGTGTTATAATAATACAAAAATCTGTTATTTAAGCCGTGAAAATCTAGTTTTTGAGGCTTCATATCGCGCGTCCGTGGCAATTTTTCAATTTTTTTTTTTTCGTAGAAACTGTACTCTAATATGACTATATCTAACGTTTTTTTTTTTTGAAAAATTGCCTGAGGCGCAGATCATTTTTGATAAAATAGCAATGTAGTTTTATAGTATATATGGACCTTTTAGTATTTTCGGAGAGCTCGGAAAATCAAATTGCTAGACCTAAAAAACCGCCCGCCCTAGAAAAATTTTAATTTTCTGCGCGCGCCACTGAAATGTTCGTACGGGGTCGTATGGTATCAGCCTGAAGCGTTTTATGTCGTAATATGGATTTCAGAACTATATTTCAACAAAAATAGCTAGCTGCCTGCACGTGGTCCCAAATATTCAGACTACAATAGAAGAGCAATATCGAATAAAATTTTCTTTTCCAGATTTCCTCTAATTTTTTTAGTTCAAGGGTGACTGAATTAGATAAAAACAGCAAGAATCAAAGGTATTTATTGCTAAAAATTAACATTGAAACGCTAAATTTTTTTAAGCAAAATTAGTTAAATGAATTGTGGGGAGGTCAGCCTCGCAGCTCTTTTCGTTGATTTAGTCTAAAAACCGATTCTTTTCTCGACACAAACAACTTTGGCCCACATGAACATTCCTCCCCCATATTGACCAAGTAAACTTCCAACCAAAGAAAAGACAGTTTTTCAAGTAGCATCGTTCTTGGTTGAATACTGCTTTCTGATTGGTTGAAAGTTCGCATCGTTCGAAATTTGATTAAAAGCGAAATAAGCAAGTGAATTTTATCCCCCCTTAATCAATTTGGGGGTGGGAAAGACTGTTGACATGGTCCACAACTTTTTGACACTAGCAAGCTTGCAAGCGTTAGTGTATTATTTCCAACCTTTTTTAACCTATCTCGCAAATAAATGTGTACATTGAAAGTGTTCTCTTATATGGAAATTTCAGTGTAGCATTGGAAATTGCGTAGCATCTGTTCTCTGCTTTTTTTGCTGCTATTTTTTGTCATTATTTAAGCGTCCCTGACTAATTGGTAAGTGTGTGAGACTCATAATCTCTAGGTGGCAGTAGGTCGTAGGCTCGAATCCGAAACGTTGCAGAATTTTTTCAATTCGATGCTAATTTCTACTTTTTCTTTTTGCACTTTATAGCGGTGCTGTTTTGTCGTTTTTTCGATAGTGTATGCGCAGCGCTATCTTTTTAGAGATTTTTGATTTGGAATTCGAATCACGGCTATAAAGGTTTTTGTTTTGATTTCACACTTGACCCTGACGAGCTTTCGAAAAGAACAAAAAAATTGGAAAGAATGCTTTTATAATTTATCTATTGCGATAATACCAGCTGCAGATACGCAACTGTCGTTCTTTTCGTCATTTAAAAACCTTTGGGTCGAAAACAAAACACTATACGCAATAGTTTCTACCCACCTTCTTCAGGACAAAAAGGTCTAATAAAGGGAAAAGTTTATTTTTGCCTGTTTTATCTTAGTTATAGATCAAATTCTGTGATAGCACTTGCGAGCGTTAGTGTATTAGTCCGAACATTTTTTTCTAACCTATTTCGCATCTTAAAGTGCTCATTAAAAGTGTTGACTTATTTGGTGGCTCTTCTGCTAAATCACGATCTGCGGCATTGGAAGTTTCGTAGCATTAGTTCTCTGCTTCATTTGTTATTTATTTGTTATTTATAAAGCATCCATCGCTAGTGTGTGAGGCTCATAAACTTTAGGTTGCAGATCGAATCCGAGACGTAGCCGACTAATTCGAGGCTTATTGCTACTTTTTCTTTTTGCACTTTATAGAGCTGTTTTTTGCGCGTTCCTGCTAGTGTTTGCGAAGCTCAGCTTCCCTTCTGTGTCTTTTTGTTTTGCGTTACTTGCACGGCAACCGCCTGTCCTTGAATTTCTTTCAAACATGCAAATTTCATCAAAATGAGCCCAGAAGATTTTTTCTCAGATAGGAACTATCAGCGTCATATTCTGGAACGGTCAGAGACACTTGGCTGTGGCTCAGAGGGGAAACAACTACGCGCTGCTGTTTGTAGACAGACAAGGCGAATGTGACCCTTCGAAGTACGAGGGACAGGTTCACTATCAGCAGATTACAGGAGGAAGGGCGAGAAACACCGAGGCCAATTGTGGAATTCTCGGAAACATCAGGTACCGAGCTTAGTTTTATAAATCACAGCATGTGAAACTTGAATCTTTCCACTATTTATTTCGCTTTCGTAGGATAATGAACCTACCAGTAGGTTTATAATGCATGTGTTTTTTAAAAAAGAATGGGTCGAACAGAGAGCAGAATTTTCATTCAGTTTGCATTCAGCCAGAGGATTTGTCAATATCACAATTAAAAGAGCATGAACTCTGATTTTGCATGTGCAATTTAAGGAAGTGTGGTTCTGCAGCGTCTAATAATGACTGGGAAGTACAGGATTATCTGTACCACATAAACTCCAATGGACTCATTTGCAAAATGCATCTACCCCAGACCCTTAAAGTCAATAGTCCAGTCTCTATTCCAGAAAGCAAGGACAAAAATTTAGCTTCGAAAAATGCGAACAAGTTGTACGAAGCTTCCGAATATTGCGTTGTGAGCTCGTCTTCGGTCATAGACGAACATGATATACGCGATTTACTGTTGATTCGGCTGTTCCCTCTCAAATGCGCAGATCAAATTGACAAGGGTAATGTTGTCTAATCAATGAAATTGAAAAAGCCCGAAAAATTTGTTATCTCATTTGTTGTTGCGCTATAGATCAAAATAATTGTTGCCACTAATTTTGTGATCGTTCATTGCCATTACTTTTGTTGTTGTCCATATAATGGTATTGCCTATTTATGGAAAACTTGGTGATAATCTTTTGTTATCATAAAACCTGCTGCGTTAGCCTTAATCAAATATTCAAATGTTTAGATTGATATCATATCCAAAAGCTAACTGTTGTCGCAAAAAGCTGTTTAAGAGTAATGAACGCAGTGAAGACTCTTATACAAGTCTTGCTGTTTTTTTTTTCAAGAAAACTCTTAGATATTGATGCATTTATGAATGCACTTAGGTATATGTTCTCTTTTTGAATTCAATTAAAATTCATCTGAAAGTGACGTAAATAGCACTCTCCAAAGGGGAGGGTTCTCATGCTGGAGGGACCGAATGCTTGATAAATTTCAACCAATCAAATTCGTTAAGCGTTCCTATTGGCTAACTGCCTTTTTCACAAAATCTAAGTCAATATTAACAGAAAACGTTAATATAATAAATATAATAGATGCAGATAGAATAGGTGCAGATACAATTTATATTGTTTTTTTTGTTTTTCCTTTTTTCGAAAATCGGTATCCTTTAAATATTAAATTTGTTCCAATCCGCCTTTGATCCGGCAATACTTTCATTCATCTGCTTATTATCTAATTGGTTAATATTAACACTAATGGCCTTGATTTTTTTTTGCTAACTTTGAGATTTTCGCGATTTCCCTGAGATTTCTGAATACTCAATTCTGATTGGCTGAAAATAAGCCAAAATAAATTTCAAGCATTCGGTCCCTACATCATGAGGAACGCCACCCTCTCCAAATACGAATGTGGAAATGCCGCGAAAAAACGTAGATGTTTTCTAGAGCAGGGTTCTCAGGCTGGAGGGACCTAATGCTTGAAAAATATCATTCAATCAAAGTCACTACGCGTTCCTATTGGCTAAATACCTTTCTCACAAAACCGAAGTCAATATTAACAGAAAATGTATTGAATCAGTGGAAAATAATCAAAAATATAACAAATTGCGGGTTACAACCGCAATACTATTCAGATAAACATCAAGATTTATAAGTTCAAGTTCTTGAAAACTCATCTGCTTATTATCTAATCGGTCAATATTAACACAAATGGCCTGAATTTATTTTCTTACTTTGTGATTTTGCGATTTACTTTGATATTTTAAATACTCAATTCTGATTGGCTAAAAGTAAGCTAAATTAGTTTCAAGCATTCGGTCCCTCCGGCATGAGGGATGCCACCTGATTTCTAGTTTCAAAAGTGGAATTTTATTTTTAGATTTCCAGCGGAATAAAAACTTTACCTATTGATTTTGTTTTCTCTTGTTGGGTTCATGTTATAAAAAAGCGCTACTCATAAATTGTTCTAGAAGATCAAATAGCTCAAAGGGCATCTATTTTTTTCTTTGAAATTCGAAAATTTTTTCAAGAAAGTCAGTGTTTTTTACTTGCGTTCATTACTCTTTTCCAATCTTC